TCTAAGTATTTGTCCATTTCCTCTAGATTTTCATATTTGTTTGAGTATAGTTTTTCATAGTATTCTAATGTTAGCTTTTTTATTTTAGTTGGGTCTTCCAGATTTCTTTAACTCTTGCCTCTGGCTTTTCCATTCCTTAACTATGTCAACTCTATTTCCTTGGGGTCTTAAGTACATGTCCTCCAGGCCTGTAACATTTCTTGTTCCTTGACTAACAATAACTTTTTTTTTTACAATTACAACTTTAATGCCAGTTTCTCAAACTTTTTCTGATCTCTAGCTGAATTAGTTCTTATTATACATTTTCAAGTCACCATATTTTTTCCACACTATTAACGCCAATTGTTAAGTACATGTTTACCTGCTGATTTAATTCATCTACACATTTGATTTAACTGAAGAAAGAAGAGCATGTCTCTTATTCAACATAAATGAGGCAACAATCACAGTCCTTGACACAGAATAAATGTTCAGTGGATCTGTTAAATGAAAGGAGGGGGTGTGTGCATTATCTCCATAAATATTTTACTCGGTTCAGTTAAGTTTATTATTAAACTCTTGGAACTTGTATAATTCTGTGCTTTTCTTTGTAGAAGAATTTTATGAGATTTTCTAAAGAGCTGAAACCCCTTCTGACACAGAAATTAAGAACCATTAGGATATTAAAATCCACTTCTCCAGCTTTTGTACTCATTGTTTTGGCTGTCTTCTGTACCGCCACCTCTACTTAGGTGGTTGTTATGTGCTGCTGAGTCAACTACAACTCACAGCAACCCTATGACCAACAGCTCTGAATCCCTGCCATAATGTGTGCTGTCCTCCTGTGTGACACACTTGTCACTGTCTCATTGAGGACCTTCCTCTCCTATGCTGGCTTTCCACTTTACCAAGCATGATGCCCTCCAAGGACTGGCCCCCTCCTTACACCATGCATCTTATGTGCATGATCAGGTAGCTGGTGAGTCTTCCTATGATCTTGATCCAATACACTTCTCCATATAGTTCAGCCTCTTGAATGATTTGTTCAGCATAGAGAGTAAATATGTACATAGAAAGAATACAGTCCTGACACACCATTCTTGATTTTTAAACCTGGCAGTGTTCCCTTGCTCTGTTTGGACAGCAGCTTCTAGGCCTGGGTTGAGGTTTTGCATGAGCACAATTAAGTGTTCTGGGATTCCCATTTTTCCCAGTGTTAGCCCTAATTTGTTATGACCCACACAGATAAATGCTTTTGCATTATCTATACACCACACATCACACAGTTGTGCCAAGAAATCTGGAGAACAACCACTTGGCCAGCTGACTGGAAGAGATCTATATTTGTTCCCATTCCAAAGAAAGGTGACCCAACTGAGTGTGGAAACTACAGAACAGTGTCATTGATTTCACATGCAAGCAAGATTCTGCTGAATATCATCCAAAAACGATTAGAACAGCACATCAGCAGAGAACTGCCGGAAGTCCAGGCTGGGTTTAGAAGGGGTCGTGGTACTAGGGATATTGTTGCTGATGTTAGATGGATCTTGGCTGAAAGCAGAGAATACCAGAAGAATGTCTATCTGTGTTTCATTGATTATGCAAAGGCATTTGACTGTGTGGATCATAACAAACTGTGGCTGACTCTGAGAAGAATGGGAATCCCAGAACATTTAATTGTGCTAATACGAAACCTATACTTGGACCAAGAGGCAGTAGTCAGAACAGAGCAGGGTAACACTGCATGGTTCAAAATTGGGAAGGGTGTACGCCAGGGATGCATCCTGTCTCCATACCTTTTCAACATGTATGCAGAGCAGATTATCCGAGAGGCTGGGCTCTATGAGGAGAACTGTGGCATCAGGATTGGTGGAAAGTCTATTAACAATCTCCGTTATGCAGATGACACAACCCTGCTTGCTGAAACTGAGGAGGACCTCATGCACTTGCTGCGAAGGGTCAAGGACTGCAGCCTTCAGTATGGACTGAGGCTCAATGTCAAGAAGACAAAGATTCTCGCCACTGGACCAATTGGCAGCATCAGGATGGATGACGAAGAGATTGAGAGTGTTCACAGCTTCAGTTTGCTCGGCTCCACAGTCAACACTCTTGGCACCAGCAGTCAGGAAATCAAAAAGCGTATCGCGATGGGAAAGTCTGCTGTTAGGGACCTCTCTAAGGTACTCAGGAGCAACAGTGTCTCTCTGGAGACTAAGGTGCGCCTGATACAGGCCATGGTCTTTGCAATGGCTTGTTATGCATCAGAGAATTGGACAATGACTAGGGAGGACAGAAGGAGAGTGGATGCTTTTGAGCTGTGGTGCTGGAGAAGGGTACTGAATGTACCATGGACTGCCAGGAAAACAAACAGATTTATCTTGGAGAGGATTAAACCAAGCTACTCCTTGGAGGCAAGGATTCTGGGGCTTCGTCTGACATACTTTGGACATGTTGCCAGGAGGCATGGGTCCTTGGAGAGGGACATCATGCTTGGTAGGGTTGAGGGACAGCACAGGAGGGGAAGACCCTCTATGAGATGGATTGATTCAGTGACTGGGGTAATCGGGATGGGTGTGTCAGAGGCGGTTGGCGCAGGATAGAGCAGGGTTTAGGGCTGTTGTGCATAGGGTTGCTATGAGTCGGAAACGACTCGACAGCACATAACAACAACATACACCAACAAGCAGACATTCCTCTAGTATTCTCTGGTTTCAGTCAAGATTCATCTGACATCAACAATGATCGTAAAGGATGATAGTAAAGGCTAAAAAGACATTATCATACATGTTCCTTAGGGATGAGCAATCCCAGAACAGGTAAAATACTTGTTCAAGGTGGTGTTACTTATATCACTGTCACTAATCAGTAAATAGCTTGGAAGCAGGAGTGGCATCCACTTCCGAAATAGCTTGTCTCTGGAGAAATGATGGAAGTTAATACAGGTGTTCACTCTTTCGTTCATAGGGTCACTATGAATCTTCTACGACTTGATGGCACTTAACCAGCAATCAGTAAATACTTCCCTTTTTACAAGTTGGAGAGAACTGGACTTTTTTACCAGGGTATCTGTGAGGAGTCTATTATTTTCCATCTTGGTTCTGGTTATTCCTTAATGTGTAACCACAACAGCATTTTGATTTGTAAGTCACAAGGTGAAGAACAAGATGACCATTAAAAACAACAGCTTCCATAGAGCCTTATAAGCCATTTTTAATAAAGCCATCAGTCTCTGCCAATATCTAAACAATGTCAAATGTATACCCAAGCCCTGTTAGTTCTGTATTCAAAGGGAACTCACACACACACACACACACACACACACACACACACACACACCCCGCGCAAATACATTCATTATCTTGTAAATGACTTACTCTGTAGTGCCAGCAGGAGCTAAAGGATCAAACTCCATCACCTCGTAGTAATTGGGTGGCTGAAGATCATTCTTTGCCATTGCTTTAGGAGTTAAACAGAAATAGAAGCATGTAAATTGTGTTTGCCCAAGAGAGATGTGCAATTAATATTCTCTTTATAATTTAAAATCTCAATAAGAGACTATTCAGAATCAGAAATAAAACAATATATATTTAAAATTTCAACAAGAGACTATACTCAATCACAAATAAAACTATATATATATAAAATTTCCAACCATCATAAAAAGTCTATCTCAGTGTTCAAAAGATGATAAGCAGTTTAATACATATTTTTGCAATCTTCTGACTTCAATCATAATGGAATCTACCCTAAATTTGAGTTTACTTCCTGGAGCTTAAAATGTAAAATAAGCTATTCCAATTTTCCCTCTCAGTCTAGTTTTAATTAACAAGAAATGTCTGGCAGACTTGTCAATTCTCCCACGTTTTCTTTATTGTATTTAAGTAACATGGCCTAAGGTACCTGGATGGTTGCTAGGCAACGCTGGTGGCGTCTGGTTTGCCCATGTCGTTGGGATGCTTGGCTGTAGCAATACTGCGTATGAATCTTCTGCAAACTGAAGAACGCAAGGCATGAGCTCACATATCCTGCATTCAACTTTTCTCTTTCGTAATACGGATTCCTAGGCTAGAAATGGTATTCTCTAAGAACCTTATGTTCTCCGCTGCATCAGCATTAGTAATTTCCAAACATTGAAAGAAGCAGGACTGAATAATTCAGTCCAGATTCTCAGCTGCTGTGTACTAAAAGTACAATTCTGCCTTCCAAAAAACCAAAATAATCTTAAGTCTAAAGAGAAGCACAAGATGGCCCTATCAAGTCAGAGTCTCAGAGAAATACTGCATTTTAAATTAGAAATAGCTCTATCTTGTTCTAATTATACCCATTAATTACACAAATACGTACTGGGCATATATACACTAGATACCAACAACACTGATAAAGTAAGAGATAAACTAGGCCAGGTCCCTGCCCTCATTAAATAGACAATCAACAAATGCAGATGTTGGATGGAAAAATGCTATGGGATTTAGGGGAGGGGGTGGATAGGGAGAAAAGTGCAGCAATGAATGACTGGAAACCCTAAGTCTCTGCAAACTTACATTAAAATTAATTTTAAAAAAAACCAAAAAATAAAGAAATATCAATAAAGAAGGGGGAGAACTGCTATGAGATTGAATCTCCAGGATTTCATTTTCTTTTTTTTTTTTTTGACAGTAATAATCTTCCCAATGATTTATTGATAATCTTTTCAATGACTTCCTATGCATCTGAAAGTTGGACAATAAATAAGGGTGACAGGAAAAGATTATTTTAAATTATGGTGTTGGAGAAGAGGATTGAATATCTCACCAAAGAAATAAAAAGTCTGTTGTTGTTATGTGCCATCGAGTC